ACCAGTCTGGATGTGTTACGTATGAACATCATAATTCAGTCACACATATAGTTGAATGTTGTGTTTCAAACTGATTTAATTAGTAACATTTTAGATCAGGGCCCATATCCAACATTTTCCTTTAATAAGTGGTCCCAGGTGGTCTTTCCTGAGCCCCTTCCCCTTTGCCCTCAAACTACACCAGTCATGGAAATCCTTTAGATAAAGCAATGATAATGTCTCATTCTCCAAAATGAGATTATATAAAACAACAACTAAACATAATGTCAAGAAAACGGGGTGCTAATAACCTGCCAAAACAAGTTTTTTATTAGTGTAAAAAAACAAACAAAATTATTTATGTGAGGCAATGTGGCCCACCTTAATAAAGTTAAGGCCCACTTAATACTACAGTTGTCTTATGGATAAAGCTGTTTCCCTGTATTTTGGAGACTTGGGTTCAACTCCCTGAGCAGGCAAAAATGCTAATATTAAAGGCTGATTTAGGAAGTCAGTAGTGTACTTCCAACAAAAATGACAATTTGAATGAGTTTGTTTGGTGTGGTTTGAGCCAGCTTTAAAACGGAACTCATAATCACTCTAGTATTAATTTGCACCACACTGCATTTTTAACAATACTTACAGCAGCAAGTTTGGTTGTAGACTATGTTTGCTTTCCTATAGAAACCAAATAGACTGTCTCTCATGTTGCCCCTTTTCCCTTTGAGCCTCTGCCTTCCAAAATGTCTGTGTTCAATCTCTCTCTCTCTCTCTCTCTCTCTCTCTCTCTCTCTCTCTATCTCTCTCACAGCATGCCTCTGCTCCTGTGTATGGTAATGTCTCAGCCCGGGCCATGACCTCTGAACTTACAAGGACAGCAGCCTCAGATGATGAGGATGAAGTTCACTACTCCAGCGTTCTTTTCACACGTTCTCATGTACAGGAACTGCCTCTCTACTCCACTGTCCAACACTTAAGTGCCTTTAAAAAAGCAGAGGAAGTAGAGTACAGTGCTGTGAACGTCTCCAGATCAAAAGCTGTTCAGTGGGTCTGACTTAGACAATTATTTGCTGCATGTGGAAGTGGACATGCAGACAGCAAAGAAGCTGCAAGTGTGTGTAATTATCAGATGCGGCATAGAAATAGTTAACAAGTTATAGAAGTATAGAACAAGTAAGAAATAGTTAAAAGTTAACAAGCAGCTTAAGTTAAAAGTATGAGCTTTTGGCTTCAGATGTTCAATAGAAATTAAACATAAACATATTTCATATATGAAAAAACCTATTTAATATATGGAATTTATTCTTATACCATCCCGGTTATATGCTCACTTATGATCTTTTATCAAGTGCTATTCTTTGCAGATTCCTGTTGTGCAAACTGATGGTAACGACTGTGGTTATATTTTAAAAGACAGCTGAGCTGAACCGTGTTTTCTTCTGCAGTTTTAACAAATAGTCTTTGAATATTTCTAATAATATTAAACTCAGTCAAAATTACTGATATTCGGCAGATAAATAAAGATAAAATCTGCATAAATAGAATAGGAAACCCAAAAGAACTGTTTTCTTAGTCCACAAGATGGAGCTGAGAAGCCTTTTTAGCTTTACGGTGAGATCAAGGTTTCTATTCTATCTCACTTCAATAAAAATATTAGTCAGATTCTCAGATTCATAAGGTAAAATTTAATCGATGCAACAAATAAAGTTTTCTTTTAAAAGCATATTTTTCAGTCAAAAGTTGCAATATATCATACTTTGCCAATCAGAACTCACTGGAGTAATCACTGTTGACCAAAATAAAGAAAAATATCTCATAAAGAATGGAAGATTACTGACAGAGCAAACTTAGGGAATTCAGCTAATTAGCTGCTAATAATGGGTAAATCAGTCTGTCTGTATGTCTAAAAAGCACTAACAGACCCTCTCAGCACAGATTTCTCTCTTTATCCTTCTCTTTCTACCTGCATTCGTCTGTGTGATGGAGCAGCACTGCAGTTAACAGTGAGACCTGCGGACGGACACTTTGATGACCGTCCACACGGACTGGTTAGCTTTATTAGCATTATTAGCTCACTGCATCAATAGATAATCGCACTGCATCAGTTTTAGTGCAGTGACTATGAGAGAATATTGTGTTGTTAAAGTGATTTGACATGTTGTTACTTTATCATGTTCTGTTTCATTTCTATACAGATAAACTACATTAGCTGTCCAGTTGTTTATCTCCCTCTTTACTCTTTAGTCCACACTGTGAAGAACAACAACACTTAAAAACACAAGTAAACAAACTGTGTACAATAATTATTTATTGTGTATTGTGTAATTATTTATATTATTAATAATAATTATACATAATAAAATTTTTCAGCATTTTTTACATTCATTATGTGTTCAGGCCGATTACTTGACTACTCGACTATTTGACTAATCATTTTGAGGCATCTAAGATTTTACTAATCACATTTATTATTTATGTATTTCCAGGTCCGAGCCCTAGATGAGCAAGCCAGCGGCGACAGTGACAAGGAGAAACTCCCTCAGAGCAAGAAGAAGAAACCTTGAGAGGAATCAAGACTCAAAAGGGGAGCCCATCCTCCTCTGGTTGACGCCGGATAGCAAACAATAAGACAATGAGAACTATTTGAATAAACTAATGATTAAAGAATAATTACCGAGTCATTCACAATTTTAAAAAATAGGTGGAATTGCCCTTTAAATGCTGCTCATGTTAACTGTTCTCTGTCTCCCTCTAGTGGCTGAGTGTGACTTTGCTCTGATAGAGGACAACAGGAGACTGTGGTCAGCAGAGCAGTACAGAAAGAGAAACATAAAAGACAGAAACAGGAGCAGCGTCTCCTCCTAATCTGACCACTTTAAGCTTCACTATAAGCAGAGAGAGATCAGAGCAGAGCAGAGCAACATGGGACGAGCTCTCAAACCAACAGCTGCTTTTAAATGTTTCATTCAGTATTTCATGAATTCTGTTCATTATTTATTATTAAATGTTAAATATACTGTAATGATCTTTTTATAGTCATTTCGGTCTCAGGATTTGATTACTACATCGCCAGTATGAAAGATTCATAATTCTTGGTTGTGTACAAGTTTCTCCATCATTTTAGTCATTTACAGCAAATCACTAATGTCACATCTAACATTACTATTAATTATAATGAATTTATATTTCAGATCTATTTTTACAACTACAAATAATATAAAATTGCACTATAAACACTATATTATGAACAGCATGCAAGGTAACTACAGATCCAGTGAGAGACCTGCAAAAAACACAGTGATGAGACACTGCACATAGAAATATCTTCAAAACACACTTTACAAATATCCAGATCTCTGGTAACAAAAAAGAAGACCCAGAAACAGAAAACATATTGAAATGAACCTTAACTTTCCTCACCTCAGGACACAAAAAGACACAAATACAGAAAAAGCTTACCTCGTTCCACTTTATTTGAACAGCCCCCAATAGATGAGACTGTTAAGACACTGTTTGAACAGCTCTGGGGCAGAATTAGGATTTGGACCAGGTTTAGGGTTAGTCAAAGTTAAGATGAATCACAAAGATATTTAGTTGAATTTAAGGAATCAAATTAGCATTAACAATAAGCATCTTCAAAGCATCTACAGTAGGGCTTTCCAAATAATGTGTTACCACTCAATATTAACCACAGAGATAATACTCTATACAATAATAATAATAAAAAATAAACAATAACAATAATAAAAAATAAACAGAGTTCTGGTCTCTTTACTGTCGTGGCCTCTTAGGATGTTTGGGGATGGGCTCTCCACTGATGTCCACTTTGATGAGAGGAGCGAAGCTTCTCAGCGTTGGTGTGCTGAAGCCCACAGTGACTCTCTCTGAGTGGGACAGCAGAGTGTTTTGTTTGTTTCTCTGATAGTGATGTACTGATAGTGATGTAGACTGTCTGTCACCAGAGTCTCTGTTTGTAAAGGTGGTGATGAAAGTCTCTTTGTGATGATCTTCACTGAACTGCACAGTTAAACTCACATTTATGCAGACTTTGCAAAAGAAACATTAACACTCCACTAACCTCAGACTCTGTTCATAAGAATCTCTGAGTGTGTTGTAACTGTTTTCCTTCTCCAGATGAGGAAACTCATGCAGAGGTTTATAGGTCCTTTAATGTTCTACAAGGAGTTCTGTTTCATCAAGACAGCTTTTATTTACCCCCAGATTGTTTTAAGGATTTTGTCTTTTACAACATGGCAACACACTTCTCTTCTACTCACAGCTATTAAAATATGACAAAAGAGCAGAAACTCTTCTGTGAATCAAAACTGAATAAAACTGAATAAAAGCTTAAAAAGAAATTCACTGACTCAAACTTTATATAGCACTTTTCATTTTTATTACTAAATCTCAAGCATTAATAAGATACCAGAATAAACATTACATTTAAATGAAAGACTAAATAAATGAAATAATTATGTTAAAGATTAAATAATTTAAAGTAAAAAGACCCAAAAGGAGCCTAAAGAAAAGTGTTTAAATCTAGATTTAAAAACATTTACAGAGCTTTTATTCGTAATATTGTCTGTATCATATTCCAAAGTTTAGGAGTTATATATAAAAGACAAACAGAAATATATAAAATAGTTTTTATTGAAAAATTCAACTGAGCAATAAATGGAAATAAAATTAAATAAAAACACAAAGTTGAATAAACTAAAATAAGAAACTTTATTCATAGAATGTTTCTAAATTGCTTCGAGCACTGAACTGAAATATAAATCAAAGTTGCTCAGCTACATCATGGAGGATGTGTTCTTTAATTTGTACACTTGTTGATTTTCTGTGTTAAGCATCGACTCTGACTGACTCTAAATCTGCAGACTGAAGCAGATCAGCAGAGTCTGTGAATCAGAGCCAGGACTCATGTAATGTAAACCTGACTTAAAATCAGTGTGTTATACTTTTTATGACAGATTCATTTGTTTGTTTTGTTTTATATGTGTTTTGCTGTTAGTTCACCTCTGAAGTTAGTTTCTGCATTAAACTCTGAAGGTGGTTAATTCAAGCTGACCAAACAAAAGAAAGAAAATAAATATGAACCTGTGTTTTGGTCTGGTAGTTGCATTAGTCATGGTTTTACATACGGCTTTATATTCAACAGGTCCCCTAAACAGTTTGAGGAAATTGATGCCTTAAACATTCAGTTTTAGAACTGATCAGTAAAGAGCACTAAAATACACTGAGTCTGTTTTTCTCTAATTTCTTTTGTCAGCTGAGTTTCTTTAATCTTCAGGTTTGCTTTACAGTGAACAGCTCAGCTTTTTTTCCAGGATCCAGAGCTTCTGCATGTTTGTGTTTTTGAATCTGGCTGTAGGTCTGAGATGGATCATCAGCTGCTTCAGCCAATAGAGACCTGAGAACATGAAGAGATGAACTAGATAAATGTCCTAAACTAAATCTCTTCAAAATCAGTACAGTTGTAATGGCATGATTTACTCACTGGTTCACAGCAGCGTGCTGAACATCCTCCTCTTCTGTGGAGTCTAGAGGAAGTTTAGCAGTGAGGAATGGAGGCTCTTCCTGTGAGTGAGAGGGTCTGAAATAAACACTGGAGTAGTGAATGTCGTCCTGATCATCTTCTCTGTTTGCAGGCTGAAACAGCTGTGCTGAAATGTTATCGTACACAGCAGCAGCGTCTCGCTGAGAGAGAGAGAGAGAGAGAGAGAGAGAGAGAGAGAGAGAGAGAGAGAGAAAACACAGAATAAATAAATAATATGATTATTTGGTCACTCAATCTCTCCTCTCTAACATGCTCACCTGTTCAGTCTCCTCAGCGCTGCTGTGGCCTTTTTTACTCCTACAACCAGCTCAGTTCATACAAGCTGAAAACTTTAAAATTCGTGTAAAATTAAATGCATCTCATTAACAGTTCACATACCACATCCACAGAGCTGCTATAATGAATATTAGAGCCAAAAAGACCACCACTCCCAGAAAGGCCACGACTCCCACTGTGAGCAGCTTTAACAGTGAGCTCTGCTCTGAACCTTCAGCACCTTCACAAATAAACCATCAGCCTCATCATCACTTACAGAGAAGAACAAAGATAAATATGACTGTAATTACAGTGTTTGTTTATGTGCACTGACTGCAAAAGCAATTATCAGGAACAAGGACTAAAAATGTAATTCTTAAAAATGACACATTCAATTGTCACATATGTTCAGTCAGTGCAACAGGAAGCATCTAAACAATCAGTGGTTAGATTACTGCTTCAATATTTACACTCACTTAACATGAGGAGTCAAGCATTCTGTAATTTTATCACATGATTGTCATTTTAATGTTTAAACAAATGAACATAAGAGTAAAGGAAAAACACTTATGGCAGGCAGTACATATCACTGCTGTCACTTGTATCTCCATATTTGTCATTTTTATTTGTTTTTTAAACATAATTTAGAAACGCAAATTGCCCTTTAAATTGTGTGTAAATTTCATAATGAATGGACAAATACAACTAGTCCAAAATTAGTTGGATAAAAGTCTTTTTACCAGGCCTGTCCTAGTCATGACATTTTAGCTGACGATTTATTGCCATTAACTGCAATTACCAATTTGCCTTTTTTTTCTTTGAATGCAACTATTACAGTACAAGTGGCAAAATGAGCTGATGAGCTGTCTTACTTCCTAGCTGAAGATACTTAGTACCTTCCAAATGATGACAAACACAGCTCGAGTTCAAATAAACAAACAATACTCATTACTTAATAGCACCAACACAGAACCAAGTCAGAAGCTAGTACTTTAGTTGTATGGTGGAAAATAACTGCAATCTGCTCAAATAGTTGTGATCAGGTGATTATGTAATAATTGTAATGTTGACTTACACTAAAAGTAAAGTGTGTTTGTGCCTTCTTCTGCAAAGTTACCATTTTGGAGACACATGACAGTAACTCTCTTTCTCTAATGACTATGAAGCTGTAAAGGGATTTATTCCTTAATTACAGTCATGATTCTTGTACTCACCCCAAACCCCATTACTCATGAAATTGTTTTTTTAATGCTTGGCATCACTGTCTGCTACAGGAACTGCCCCATCTGAGACAGGAAAGCACTGCAGTGGGTGGTGAAGACTGCCCAGTCCATCACTGGGTCGAGTTTCCCTCACATGGACTGTTTACACCTCTTCTATATGAGAAGGAGCTATATAGCATCCAGACCATGACGTCCAGATTGATGAACCGTTTATTCTCACAGGAAATTGAACAGCTGCTGAACAGATTTACCTGAAGACCCACGACACCTTCAGATTGAACAGCAGTCTGAAAATGTTACCTTAGCACTATTCTTCACTTTCATCTGTTAAACTACATCTGCTGCACTCAGTCACTTTATATGAGATATCACTCATCACTCGCTTTATGTGTACAGACACTTTAATCTGCACACATTGTCTGTATTTTAGACAATGTTTAAAACTGCTAAGGACTGTCAGTAATTATCAGTGTCCACATAGACTATAGTAATTGCTGCTATCCACTGTTTAATGTTATGTCTATACTGCCCTGTGCTTAATAATGAATTAGTTCTTTGTATAGTTTATTGTGATGTGAAGAGTTTTTTACTTGCATTTGTCATCTGTTTGCTGCTGTTACATGGTAAATGTAGCACTGTGTTAGCGGAACTATGTATGGACCCCCCCCTCCCTCTTTTTAGGGTTTAAGCATGCAATGCATTGAACCCTATTGTTTTTGTCAAGATTTTTCTTCCTATTCCTTTTCTGCCCTGAAACGGAACGCACAGCCCAAACCGTAAGTCCTAGAGACTTGAAACTTGGTCAATAGGTAGTAGTCCCTCCCACTACTCAGGCGCAAGAAATCAGCCCAGTCGGCCACAAGGGGGCGCTACAGCGCAGGTCAACGCGTTTGGGTCTATAACTCCTAAACCAGATTTTTGCCAGACAAGCCATATTTATTTCCAAGTTCCTTGGGTCCAAACAAACAACTTTGCCATTTGGACCATTTAGCTCCGCCCACTTAGATTTTGAGCTAATTTGCATAATATGCTAAACATACTTTTTCGAACTAGTCCTACAATTTTTGCCCAATCCTCAAGTTTTTGGTGTCAAAAAATTCAGAAGAGCCTGAAGGTCAATAATTATCAGAAACATTTTGACTTTTCTAAACAACATGGCTGTCATATGCAAATGAACCCTTCTGGATAAATTCAAAATAATTCAGAATTAATTAAAAATTCTGTAACTCGATAACCCTTCAGCCAAAAAATTTCAAACTTGACAGACACATTTGTGAGGACATTCTGAGGTAGTCTCTGGATGTTTTGCCAATTTTCATCAAATTAGTACCATAAGATTCAGAAGACAATGATCCTCAAGAATTATCAAAAACATTTTGACTGTTCCACTCAGTGTATTGAGGATCAACCAATTAATTACTGCAAACATGGCATTGCTAGCTTGATTTGCTATAACTCAACAGTCATTGGTCAGATCATCTCCAAACTTTACGGATATTTACATATTTAGACTATAATGGTGTAAGCCAGATTGGCCTTTAGGGGGCGCTTTAGCACCCCAAAAGACTTAAAAATCAATTAAAATGCTATTACAATGTTATTACAAGGTCGACATATAAACGATTGGTGCCGTGTGACTCAGGTCACTCACATGAACAACTTTCAATTTACATGTTATGTCAAAAATTGCACTGCTTGTCTTTTATTTTGGCTTATTCATTCAAAGATTTCACTATACAAAGGCTTATTATACAAAGGTCAAAAGGTCATTCTGACCAAAACTTAGTGAACGTCTTTGGATATGGTCCCTGATCAAAAATCATACCATACTGTGGCCTTTTCACTAATTCTGACCCACTTTCACTGAGCTCCTCACACCAATAGGGTCTCTTATAAGTGAATTGGGCCTCATTATGGCCTACAAGAAATCAATGGCTTAAATATAGAACCAATCCACTGTGCAAGTGCAACTTCTTGGATGTTCTACAAAGCAGTGTAGACCAGTACATATGAATGCAAACCTATAATGTGTTTAAAACACCACTGCTTCTTGTTTCTGGCAACTGAAGTCCTTTTGATGAACTGACTTCCTATCAGTTCTATTCACTCTGCCTATGAATAAGACCCATAGTTTGAGGCCTTTTTAGGTCTAATGGGCTAAACGAAAAGCTTGAGGCCTTATTAGGTCTAATGGGCTAAACGAAAAGCTCGAGGCCTTTTTAGGCCTAATGGGCTAAACCAAAAGCTTGAGGCCTTTTTAGGCCTAATGGGTTAAACCTGCAGAAGGGCCCATGCTGCTGTTGCGTGCTTGAACCCGCTCATTGCCGCTTGTGGCTATATTTAGATTTATATCTGTGAAAATTTCATTGGAACTCAGTTAACAGACCCCATTCATTCTAGGCTAAGATGAAATTGAGGCAATTTCTATAGACATTGTTTTCTGCTGGGATGGTTTAAACTCTAGTGCTGAAACAGAACAGATCTGTGTAAAATGTTTTGGAAGAGTTAATACATATCTGTGTGGATCATAATAGTAGCTGATTCCTTTACATTAATTCAGGCCAGAGTATTCTCTAAACATACCATAACAAAGGAAAAGTAGTCTCTTTGTTACATTTTATTTATTTTCATTGTTTTAAAGCGTAATAATGCAATCTTTTCAGTAACACTACCTGAATCTTGCTACATAACACTGGCATGATCACACCATAAACATGTCACAGCAGATGTCTTATGTTGTCAGTTGTCATGAATTCCCCATATAAATGCAGAGTAGCAGGGTTCAGGTAAATGTTTTTTCTTTTAATTTTCAGTTTTAAACGCCGTGATAATGTGAAATTGTGGGCATTTTTTACTGGGTTATCATACTGTTAAAATATCAAACTGTAATAGCCTTAGATGTGAGGAGAAACTCTCATGGTTTCTGACAGAGTGAGATTACAGGCCCTGCTGAAGAAACAGCTTGACCAGCTTAAACTAATTAAACTGCTTGGTCAAGGTCCTAATAGTAGACAGTTGAGCCATCAAGCTTAACGGAACCTATTCTGGTCAGGCAGCTAAGCTGCTCTACCAAAATAACCAACTGTTTGACTAGCATAGTGTATGTTTTCACATAGTCCAGATGGATTTTCAGCTTGTCAACCACCTTGACCATTAAAGACCAGCTTAGACCATCTGAAACCAGCTAGCAGCAAAAGCTGATCTATTGCTGGACTGTTGTGTCAACTACTGCTGCAGTTTCCATAAGAAACACAAAGATGTGTTAAGTTGGCTGGTGATGTCATAACCACAGAGGAAGTGACTGCAGTTTAAAATAGCTGATGTGGTGCTTTATACAAATTAAAATTCACAAACAAGCTCTGATGATAAAGATCTGTAAGCTTTAAATAACAGAACTCAGTATTAAAACTGTTTAAACAAGGTTATGTGGAGATTTGTGCAGTTTAAAACACAGGCACTGGAAGAAAAAATGCAGTTATAATTCAGTTGCTACTACAGCTGTTTTTTCTAAAGCTTGTTTGCAAAAAATCTAGTTCAGAATATTTCAGTCCAATCCTGGAGGGACAGTGTCCTGCAGTTTGGTCATTTTCCTGCCCAAACACTCCCACTAAACCTGCTAATTAAAAAAGGAGTGTTTGAGCAGGAAAACTGAACTGCCCTGCAATTAAATAGTGTTGGTCTAACTGCTGCCTGAATCATTCAACTTTATAAAGTGTTCTAAAACAAACAGGCTGCAGTTAAACAAGCTGTATTAAAGAGTTTCTACCTTTATGATCACACAAATGAATAGAAGTGTAAAAGTTTACCTTTCAGTAATATGAGGATCACTGCTGCTGTGATATTCCCTGATGTTCTGGAGGTCATGACAGCTTCACCCTTCAAAAATACTCAGTTCTTTAAGTTGTAAAAGGATAAAGAATACAGAATAAGGCAAAAAGTTGACTAGAAAAGTATCAAGAAAAAGGAATCCTGATTAGAATAAATTACCAAGCAGAGTCTCTCTCTCAGCTCTGAGAGGTAAGAGACCTGCTCACTACTCTGCTCACTCTTACACGTCCTACACTTATAAGCTGTTATGAGCAGCAGAGACCCGGAAAACATGTTTGTGCATTTTGTATGATGTCACTTCCCTCTTTTAGCTTAAAGTCACATCCTTTTTTTATCCAAGAACACAGACATGTTAAAGTGTGATTAGCATTTCTTAACCAAAAAAGTTATTTTTCTTTTTTCAGCTTACAGCATCTACCCTTACTCAGAGGGTGAAGCTGTGAATAAGGGTAGACGCTGTATGATATCAGGGCTTTATGGAGTTCCTACTGTTTCTTCAGCAGGATCTTCACTGTTCTCACTGTGCATTTTGCTGTTGCTTTGCTTCTTGGGGAACATGAACAACAAGCCACATATATACCTAGATGTCTTTGGCAAAATCTTCATATTCTGCTGTGGGAAACTGTGGGTCAATATCTGCTACTGATGGCAGCGGTGTAACTGTGACCTTGTGGGCTCCAGCACAAATAAACATAATGAGCCCCCCATACAAATGAATACATTTAATTAATATAAAATGACAATGTAACTTGCTTGTTTACTCACTTTTTTATGTCTTAAACAAACAGATGTTCTTAAGGCACACCGCTCCACCTACTAGCATCTAACATTAACCTACATGTTTACATTACCTATTTAAGGTTTTTAATGATGATATATATATTGCACTGTAGGTTGAAGGATCCGTCTGAAAACAGTTTTCATGGATGAGCTGCATTATGAATAAGAGGGATATAAAGTAGCTGTGTAGTGTTGATATAATCTAACTGGTGAACTATGTTGTTCAGAAATGGGATCATGTGTGTACAGTTCTGTCAGTATGCATATTAGGGGCCCAATAAACATTGCCCCCCAGTTTTTGCTTAAATCTTTTCATGGGATCCATAGTGACCCTGCCAAATGTTTCTGTACTGACTGTTTCTGAAAGTTTCAGCTAACTCAAAAACACTAGCCATTGCTAGAAAATATAGCTTTGAACAGTTGTACACACGTACAACC